GTTAAACAGTCCTGCCACCAAGTAGCTGGCTCATCACTCTGAAATTGGTGCCATATCATGTACTCATTACTGGTCTCTATTGCTAGCATATTGAGCACTCACTATTGGCTGTAAGCATATCTGTCTTGGTGTTTGGAAATACATGTTTTGGAGCTTAATTTGCATTATAATTCAGCTAGTTGAAGGATGATATTGTTTTTGTTCTAACTAAATCTCTTGGCCCTAAGTCTATAGAAGATAAAGGTTTCTTTCTTTCAGGGAAAATGAAGACCCTTATAGATAATTAATATTAAATGATAACTGAAAATTTGAAGTTTTGGTCTTTTGCCACTTTCTCTAGCACAGTGAAATAACTAGTCAATCCTATTATACTCCTTATTTGTACATTTTAAAATATTTTAGCTCTCAAATAATAAATACACGGTCATTCAGAACCTTACCTTCTCTAGGAATTTGACTTAAAAAATTGATGGCAATATTTTATGTATCTCTACTGCCAAATCAGGCCTTTATATTATTGCTCTGTCCTACTGTGGAAAATGATCATAGATGCCTTTAATTCTAATCAAATGAGAGAACATCAATTTCATAAAATTCAGAAGCAATTCAGAAATTCATCCTTAAGATGCTAGTCCTCTAGAACAACTCTCGGTGTTCAAATCAGTGTCAGTCAACATTCAACCAGTGAAACATAACTGAAAGGAAATATAAAAGAGGTTTATTGTAAAGAATTTTATGCAATTGTAGGGGCTGGCCAGGCAATTCAGACATCCACAGGTCAGGCTATTAGAAATGGCAGGCTTGAATTCACAAGTAGAAGCTATTATCTGAAGTCAGAAATTCTTTGGAGAAACCTCAACTCTACTTTTAAAGTCTTTCAACTGGTTGAGACCTACTCAGATTATTTAAAATAATCTCCCTTATGTAAAGCCAAATGATTATGAATTTTAATTACATCACCAAAATGCCCTCAAATTAATATTAGGGATATCTGCATGCCTATTTAATTTTAAAAATATTTTTAGTTGTATGTGGACCCAATGCCTTTATTTTTATTTATTTGTATTTATGTAGTGCTCAGGATCGAACCCAGTGCCTCACCCATACTAGGGGAGCACTCTTCCACTAAGCTACAACCTCAGCCCCTGCATGCCTGTTTACTGCAACACTCTTTGCAACAGCTCAGATATGGGATTAACCTAGTTGCCCATCAAGCCATCAAGATATTGATGAATAAGAAAATGTTGTATATAGATGATGGAATATTATTCATCCATAAAGTGAAATCTTGTCATTTGCAGCAAAATGATGGAACTGGAAGACACTGTTAAGTAAAATAAGCCCCAATACAGAAAGACAAGAGTGCTGCATGTTCTCTCTCATGTGTGGAAGTTTAAAAAAAGTCAATCTGAATGTAGAATAGTGATTATTAGAGGTCTGGAATGGGAGAGAAGAGGGTGGATAGAGGCTAGATTTGATCAGTGTACTCTGTATTTATTAAAATATAACACTGCATCCCTTAAATATGTATAATTAGTATATACTAATAAAAATCATCCTAAAACATTGGTGTTTTACTGAAATAACTGGGGACTATAGCTTAGCCAAGCTGATATATGAAAAAAAAAGGCCATCAGAGATACAAATTTCATTCTTTTTTATATAGACATTGACTTGTTTCAGCACTATTTGTTGAAAAGATTGTCCCTTCGTTTTTATATTTGATTAACATTTTTGTCAAAAATCAATGGACCATACATGTAAAAATTGATTTCCAGACTTTCAAATACATTCTATATATCTATATATCTATCATTTTATGCTAGTGCCACACTGGTGTAATTACTGTGGCTTTGTAATGACTACTGAAATGTGGAAGTGTGAATCCTTGAACTTTGTTATTTTATCAAGTAGTCCATTTTATTCTTCTGGGTTCTTTTTATTTCCATAGAAATTTTTTGATTAGTTTATCAATTTCTACAAATAAGATAGCTAGGGGTAAATTAATTTGGTTGTATTGCCATTGTGACAATAGTTTTCCAATTTACAAACATGATATGCCATTCCATTTAATTTTATTTCCTTTATTTTCAACAGTATTTGGCAATTTTAGCATGAAATCCTTAAAAATATTTGATTTAGTTTATTCTGAATATTTTGTTCTTAATGTGGTTATTATAAATGATATTGCTTTCTTGATTTCATTTTGGATTATTCATTGTTAAAGTGCAGAAATGTGATATTTTTGTGTTTTGATTTTGTATTCTACAAACTTGCTGAACTTGTTTTTTGAACTTTGTTCAAAAATTTTTTAAAGGATCTGAAGTGATGGTGTATGTCTATAATACCAGCAACTAGGGAGGCTGAGGCAGGAGGATCACAAGTTTGAGGCCAGTCTTAGCAATCTAGCAAGATCCTGTCTCTAAATAAATAAATAAATGAGGTCTGGGGTGTAGCTTTTTGGTAGAAAGTCCCTGGGTTAAATCCCCAGTATCACAAAGGGAAAAAAATTAGTACATTATTTGGGATTTTCTATATATGAATTCATGTAATCTATAAGGAAGCGGTTTTGCTTCTCCCTAATTGCCTGTTGTACTGGCTCCAAACTATAATACACTATTTAAAAAATATATAGGATAATACAATATTTAATAGAGGTAGTGAAATGAATATTTTTTCTTCCTTTTTTAAGTGGAAAATCATTCAGTCTCAACCTTCATGTGTACTATTAGCTGTGGATTTTTCTGGTTGGGAAAAAGGCCATTTTATTCTTAGTTGAGTGGTTTCTATTATAAAAAGGGTGTTTATCAGATACCTTTTGCACAGCCACCGATATGATTATGTGGCTTTTGGATTTTGTTTTGTTAATTTGCTATTTTACATTGATTGATGCTCAGGCATTAAACTAACCTTAATCATATTGTACTCTTTTTTTATTTGTTACTGAATTCCATTGGCTAGAATTTTAGTGAGGATTTTCTTATTTATATTTATAGGGTTATTAGTCTGTCATTTCCTTTTCCTGTGATATCTTTGGCTGACTTTGGCATCAGAGTAATGCTATCCTCCTTGTGGAATGAGTTAGGAAATGTCTCATCCTGTCCTATTTTTGGAACTTTGTGAACAGTGTTAATTATCCTTTAAAAGTTTAGTACAATTCATTAGTGAATCCATCTGGTCCTAGACTTTTCTTTGTGGGATGTTTTATGATAGCTAATTTGGTTTCTTCATTTATTATAGGTCAATTCACTTTTTAAAGTCATTTAAAAAAAATAAGTCTTTGTTTTTAATTCAGATTCAGTAGGTATGTGTTGTTATATAAATTTATCTGTCAAAAGTTTGGCATACTGTTGCTCATAATCTTCCTCCATAATCCTCATTATTACATTAGTCATTAATGATGTCCTCTCTTACAAGATTGATTTTTTCTTTCTTTCTTTCTTTTCTTTCTTTCTTTCTTTCTTTCTTTCTTTCTTTCTTTCTTTCTTTCTTTCTTTCTT